AACAGTAAATGGTTTGATAGGATCTGGAAGGAGTAGTACAGGTGCAGTAGTCAAGGCTTTCTTGAGTTAATCAAAGGCTTCTTGTTCAGGTATATCTCAGTAAAATTTTTTATCCTTATGTAAAAGAGCAGTAAGAGGTATCGCGATGGTAAAAAATTCTTATACAAATTTTCTATAGTAGCTTGCCAATTCTAGAAAAGATCTTACTTCTGATACATTGTTAGGTTTTAACCATTGTTGGATAATGATTATCTTTTGTGAATCTATAGTAATTTCTTCAGTAAATATGTAATGTCTAGTATATTCAACCTTGGTTCAGATTAGTTCACATTTCTTTGCCTTGGCATAAAGTTGATACTTCCTTAGTGTTGTCAAGATGATGCATAGGTGTTTCAAATGTTCTTCTTTGGTCTTGCTATAGATAAGAATGTTATCAAGATAAACAATCACAAAATCATCAAGATGTTTTTAAAAGATATTGTTCATTAAGGTCATGAATATTGTAGAGGCATTAGTGAGTCCAAAAGGTAATACCAAAAACTCATAATGTCTATAGTGGGTTCTGAAAGCAGTTTTGTAAATATCTTCCTTCTTGATTTGGATTTGATAATATCCTGAGTAAATGTCAATTTTGCAGAAATACTTGGCTCCAGCCAATTGATTCATTAATTTCTTGATTCTGGATAGAGAATATCAATTCTTAATGATAATTTTGTTTAAAGCACATTAGTCTACACAAAGTTACAGTGTTCTTTCCTTTTTGTGTACAAATAGAACAGGAGCATCAAAAGGAGACATGCTTGGTTAAATAAATCATTTTTCAGTTAAATTGGCAAGTTGTTTCTTTAACTCATCCATCTCCAAATAAGATTAGCAATAGGTAGGTCAGGATGGAGGCTCAGTACCTGGAATTAGTCCAATAGCATGGTTAATACTTCTTTTTGGTGGCAGTTGTTTTGGCAAGTCTTTTGGAAACATGTCTTGAAATTCTTGAATAATTGCTTGTTCTTCTGTTGATATACTAGAGTCTTTAAACTTGAAGTCTTCTTAAATAGTACAGATGACAAATAATTCTTCAGTTGGTGATACTCTGACTAGTTAGTGTCTTCAGATAATTATGGAATAGTATTTGAAATTCTGATTGGTTCTGTTGGAACTTGCTTTGACTTTGATGTTGCACTTCCCATACTGAAAAGATAAGGTATTGGTTCTCCAATCAATATTGGGATTGGTATGATATAACCAGGGTTTTCCAAGTATGACATCATATATTTGTAAATTAAGAACTTGTGCAGTAATTTTGGTGGTTCGGTAGGTATCTAATTCCAACTTATTAATTTTGATCTCATTAGTAACTTCTTTCTTTCTTCTATCTGCCAGTTCTATAGTAAAGGGATTGGTGTCTTCTTTTTGTAGCTGGTGGTGTATCACAAACTTTTCATTGACGAAGTTTCTTGAGGCTCTACTATCCAAGAGGATCCAAGCAGGATGGCTATTAATTTTTCCATTGATGTGTAGCAGTTGCTCTTTGTTTTTCTCAATATGGACAAATTCAGTGTTGGAGGAGGAAGAGGCTTGTTCTTCAATAACTGATACTTTGGCTTTGGATTTTCCTTTATATTCTCTTGCTATATGTCCTTCTTTTCCACAGTTGTAACAGAGAATTTGCTTCCCTCATTTTGGAAAGTTTCTTTTCTTTTCTGCCTCAGCTTGATTTAATTCCATTGGGATTAGACCATTTTGATTCTTGAAATTCTTTTTGGAGATTAAAAGTCCTAAGGGGTAACTTCCTATTTTCAGTCTTCCTAGTCTAAACATGATAGTATTATAGTGAATTGCTAGTTTCACAATGTTATTTAATGTTTCAGGGGCTTGATAGCTTACTTCTATTCTTGTTGCAGGTTTTAATCTATCAACATAGTAAGCAACTTGATCTAGAGTTTCCATATTATCAATCTGACATACCAGATTTCTAAATTGAGAGCTGTATTCTTGGATGGTTTCTACTTGATGCAAGTTTTTTAACTTAGTTCGGAGATATTGTTAATAGTGTGAAGGTTGGAAAGCATCTTTAAGTTCCTTTTTAAATTGGTTTCAGGAAGTAAACATAGGGCCTGTTATATCCTTGATCTTATTAACAAACCAATGAAGAGCAGCTTCTTCAAATTCAGTGACAGCATAATGTATCATTTTTTTCTTAATCTGTTACTTCTTGGGCATGTAGAATGTTTTTGGTTTGGTGCAACCAAACTTCAACATTTTCTCCTGGTTCTTCTTTAAAAGTGGGGATTTTAAGATAAATCTTTGGAGCAGGAGTGGTAGAGGAAGAAGAAGAACTTGACACTGTAGCTTTTTCCTTCTCAATAGCAAGAGTTTTCAAAGTTTCTTGAAAGGCTTTCATAAAGGTGGCAAATTGAGTGGTATACATTTTGGCAGAGTTTCTCTTAAGGTGTATGTGTTTATATGTGTGGGTGGGAAATGTTCTTTAAATCTGCTGCTACCAAATTGTAAAAGTCTTAATGAAATTATGGATGATTTCAATTAGACAGTGAACTTAAAAAGAGATATTTATTGAACTCAAATTTCAAGTTAATAAGCTTAAAAAACATTATTATATTTCTAATAAACTATTATAGTCTTACTTAAACCTTTTCTCACCAAAGTTATATTTTTTTCTTTTGTATAAGAACTAGCTATTCAATTCAGCTAAATACTTCCTAGTCATCAATACTATAAAAGCTTTCAAAAAAAGAGTTTGGCTTCTAAGAGAAAATAACTATACAGTAAAACATTGTCTTCTAGACTATATTAAATAAAGCATTTTTTATCCATCATATTGATACAGTAAAAACAACTTCATTTTTCTTCCAGTTACTATACAAAAAGAGGCAGATAATCTCATTAAGAATCTTAAAAAAATTTTTATATAAAACTTTTTTTTAGATTCAAAATAGATCAAAGACAATCTTAGTTAATAAAACAAGCTCAAGATTTCTAATTATATCTCTATAATGGAATTAAAACTTGATATCACTAAAGAACAATTGAATAAAGACTTCTCAAACTTTAAACAAACAATTACAAAAATCAAAAATAAATACTTCAAAGAAATTTCTAAAGACTGGATTATCTCTTTCTTATTTGATTTGTCAAATATAAGAATTCTAATAATTTAATTCAATTTGATTCTCAATTCTTAGGTTTATATTAAATTTATTATATAGGTTATAATATACTATTATTTTTAATAGTGTTTCAAATTTTATTTGAATCTATGCAAGTCTATTTGATTTCAATTTTTGGGACTATAGTCAAACATCACAGAAGCTAATAAATTTCTAAAAAACAATAATATTAATTTATTCCCTTTACTTATTGATAATTTGTATCTAAATGATAATATCAAAACACTTAATAATAACTTCCACTTTGAAAATTTTTTACTTGAATTTATAATTAAACTTGAGTTATCCAAACCAGTATTGACTTTTCTTTCTAACTTGATTTAATAATAAATACAATCCAGTTCAACTTTCAATATTCCCTAAACAATGTATATAATCTTTTCAAAAATCTTATCAATATTGTTACTTTCAATATTAGAGGTCTTATACAAAAAGAATAGCTTAATGAACTTACTAAAGCAATTAAAAGTAAAAAAAATATTTTATATATCTTATAAACAAAAGCCTCAATATTCAACTCTTTATCAAAAATATCAAATAACAATATAACTATTTCAAGCCAACCAAGTAATTTAATAATCTATAGTGTCTACATTATTATAACCAAAGCTATAGTCTCATATATATTCAAAATCTTTTAAATAATGAGTATTGGAGTACAATATACTTTAAGTTCAAGTCAAAAGTAGATATCATAATAATATTTTATTACTTATCATATAACAGAACTACAAGAAAGACAGTATTATTATTTATTAGAAGTTTTATCTAATAGCATTACAAGAAATACATTATAATAATATAAGATTTTAACTCATATCCTAAATTGGCTTCTTCTTAATAATATATACAGTTCTCTTTTTTTAAAAAAAATATATACAAATATATAATCAGCTTTATAGATGTTGTAAAGGCTACAAATAAAGAACATTCCTATATATATATAACCTAGTGATGAATAAATGGCTCGGTTCTATTTGACTAGCTTATTTAAGTCGCAACAATAAACAGCTTGGTTCCAGCTCTTCAAAATCATTAAGCCGAAATAAAGTTGATTAAAATTACAATAAATTAAATATCTATGTACTGTATTTAATCTTTTTTTTAGTTAATATTGTTATTGTAATAATAAAGTAACAAATATAAAAAATATTATAAAATTAAATTTATAGAAAAAAAAGTAAAATAGTGGGAAACAACTGGTGCATGTATAAATATATACATTATCTACTAGTATTTAGTAGTAGAGAATTGTACAGTATTAGCATTTATAGTTTATTAAATAAAGCGTTTATTATATTTGTATTGTTTTCTGATTGCATGCATAATTGTAATTTGTATATAAAAATTAGACAAACTAGAGTTTGACTAGAAGAATTAGAAAGTTCTAGTGACTAAGCAAGGTTTAAGAAAAAAATCAGATGATGCAAAGTTAGCAAGTGATAGAAGAATCGGTCAAATTGATATACATTTTAGGAGTTAAAGCCTTTATATTACCTGCCTAACTACCTATCATACAAGAACCCATATATTGACGACAGATGCATCAAAATTCCTGTAATATTTGGCGGTTAACCATGAAATATGAATAAAAAACAACATTCATTTGTTACTCCATCCCTTAATAAAATATATTCTATAAGTGCACTAATTACTGTAATCAGAAACTGTTAATTAAAATAACAAAAAAAACCTTAAAATATATTTACCTATTCCAGAGGATACATGATAACCTGGATTATTAATCAACAAAGATGAAGGAACAGAATATTAATATGCTAAAAAAGATGAACAAAGATAGATTATAATTGGATTATGAATACTTTCTCTCAAGAGATAAACCAACTGTTTAAGCATCCTGATGAAAATCTGAAGAAGACAAACAAAATGGTAAATGAGGTGGGCGAGTTAACGAAGCGAATAGTGGTAACTAAAAAAAATGACATTATAACAAACAAGGAAAAATTACAACCAGATAATGTGAATCCTATCACATACTTACCCCAAAAAGCTAATGGCACCACCTGACAGAAATATAATGAAAGTAAGAAATAAGAATTAATAATGAAATGATAGAAAGAATGAGTATTAGAGTTGGGACATTTTAATGCTACCTGATCAGAAATCGAGGCACATAAAGACAACAACATCAGTTATAATGACACGATCAGATGATGCAAATATAGAGCTAATCAAGATGCAAAGGAGTTAATTGAAAGAGAAATAGCATGTTAAGACTTGTATAAGTTGAAAAGTGATTGGGTAAGTAACTTTTACTATAATGTGTTTTTAGAACAATGAATATTTTGATTTCTGATTAAACCAACATTTATTTAACTATTTTTTCAATCTATTATTAAATTAACTATCTAGCTTTTTTTTTTTTATTATAGCTAATTATTATGTCAAAATATTATATCAAATTAATATTTTAATACATAAGCTAAAACTGAGTTAAATAAATATTTATATAAAAAACTAAATTATTAACTTTTTGTTCTTATAATATTAAAAATGTCAAGCAATATTTTCGAAAATAATTTGGACGACTGGATCGATTCAGATGATATCAATAATACAATACCTTCAGAATTTTCAGATGATAATATTAATGACAATGAAGGCAGTTCTAATAATATAGGCGTAGAAGTAGAAATAATAAGTTTGAGGATGAAAGAAATGCCAATGTTAATCGACTATAATATTACATCACAATCTAAAAGACAAAAGAAATCATCAAAAGTTTGGACTTATGTAAATTCAGAAACACGACAATGCTTTACATGCAATATTAAATTTGCAATTTCTATATCAACATCAACGATTCAAAAACATTTGAATGGGCATTTAATTTTATCAACAAGTGAAGATCAATCAGCGATTAAATAATATCATTTGGCTTTTATTCAAAAAAAAAATCAATTTTGTAATTAAGTGAATAGTAATTGATATACTTCCATTTTCAACAATTGAATCAACTAATTTTTATTTAATGGTCAATTCTTTTAATTCATTATATAAATTCCACATTGACAAACAATTCGTAATGCAATAATTTTATAATTTGAACAACAATGTACAAAATTATCAAATTATTTTGTAAAAATTCCTGGAAAAATTAGTATAACAACAGATTTCTGGACATCAATTAAATGCAAAGTATTTTTAGGAATAACAATACATTATATTGATAATAACTAAAAATTGCATTATTTTACTTTGGATGTTAAGCATTTTAAAGGAAATCATACAGGAAAACCTATTTCAGATACTATACTAGAATTATTAAGAGAATTTAATCTTCAAGATCATATATTAGCTATTACTATGGACAATGCATCCAATATGATTTTAGGATGTAAATTATTAAAGAATTAATTAAATTCAAATAATTCTAATAATAAGTTTACACATATATGATGCATATATCATATTTTGAATTTGGCAGTAAATGCTGGATTGGCTAAAAAAGTAGAATTAATTGAAAAAATAAGGAGTTTTATTAAAATTGTAAAAAAATCTATTAAATATTTAGAAAAACTTGAAAATTTAATGAAATTAGAATCAAAAACCTTTATTCAAACTATACTGGATAGCAAAACAAGATGGAATAGCACATTTAATATGCTTAATTGATTTCTGGAAATGTGTGATTATTTAGAAGAATTAATATTTCAAGATAATAACTTACAAAATTTATGGCCAACAAGTGAACAATGAACAAAAATTATAGATTTAATTAACTTACTTGATTAATTTAACAATGCAACAGTAGAATTATCTGGACAAAATTATCCAACAATTGGACAAGCACAAATAATTCTTATAGGATTAAAAAATGATTTGAATCAACCATATAATTCAAATTATTCATGCAAAAGTATTTTCGAATCTATTAATAATAAATTAATAGAATATTTTGAATATTTTGAAAATTTATTAAAAATTGGAGGATTTTTTGATCCACGTTACAAAAATTATTGTTGTTCTGAGCAAGAAATATTAAATTTATTGAATTTAATACATAGTTTACTTCCAGAATCAGCAATTTCAATATCTAATACTTCATCAACTCGACGTATATCAATTTTTTTGCAAAAACTTCAACCAAATAATTTTAATTCAATCAAATGAGATGAGGTACAAGATTATTGAAGTTGCACATCACCTTCTGAAGATACATCACCTCTTCAATGGTGGCAAGCTCATGAACAAGAATATTCAAATTTAGCAAAGTTAGCAAAGGATTTTTTATGTATGCAAGCAAGTTCTGTTCCATGTAAACAATTATTTAGTTTAGCAAGTAATATAATATCTAAAAAACATAATAGGCTTATTGGAAAATCTGTACATGCTATTTTATGTCTTTGAAGTTGGTTTATCAAAAATATTAATTAATAAAATTTTTTTTAAAAATATTTTTTGAATTTATAAATGGTTTTTTAATAGCTCTAATTATTTTATAATCAGTTTTGACTCGGTTTTAATTTTAGTTAATGGTTAGCTTAACTTTATTATAAAACCAATATAACTGAACTAAAAACTGGTCAAGTCGAACTATTTAACATCACTAATATAACCTTTACCAGTACTTCAAAAATTGATCAAACTTAAATTATTAGAAACCTCATCAGTAAAATTCTTTGCTATAAGGTCTCAAAACAACAAGCCATATCAATAAACCACAAATCTATATATATATATAACCTTTACCAGTACTTCAAAAATTGATCAAACTTAAATTATTAGAAACCTCATCAGTAAAATTCTTTGCTATAAGGTTTCAAAACAACAAGCCATATCAATAAACCACAAACAAATTAATATAGTACTAGACTAATTCAAGTATAAATTGAGTAGCATATTATTCTCAATCAAAACTTACCAATTTCAAAAGCAAATAAGAAACTGATACAAATAATGTAAAAAGAAATAGATTTATATTGTATTGCTATAACTAATCTATCATGGAAATTACTAAACATAATTATAAATAATACTATAAATAATAACATATTAAGAAAAGATCAAACCATTGCAATAAGAAAGCTAAATCCTTTGAAACACTATAAGAATACAATCAAATTTTCAAAAAAGCAATCAATTCAATAATAGCAAACAGAAAATCTAATAAACTTTATCTGATTGCAGTCAGTATATATGAAGTCTTATCCAATAAATTATTATTATTTATCTTTCTTAGGAAAACCTTTAAAATTTTTTAAAAGAAAAAGTTATCAAGGTTAACAAAATTATTTTTGATAAACTTCAGAAAAACATTCAAGAAAATTATATTAAATTTTGATTCAAGCCTCAAAAAGCACTCAAAAAGGCTCTTGAAAACCTCAAGCTGGCACCTGATCTCTCAATTCTGTTCAATAAAGGCCAACTCCAAGATGATCTAGACAAACTTATAGAAATCATCACAAATTACTTCAAAAACCCCCTAGCAACAAATCAATTTGTTATAAATAATAAATGATAATAGAAATATCTGCCAAAAAAAGATCTCTCATACAAATTATTCAAAAGTATCCACAAAGATATCATGACAGAAGAAATTAATAAAGTTCTTATAATCAAAAAGCTTCAGGTCTAATATAAATTCTATACAAAACATAGATCAATATTGGCCCAATTACAAGACAAAAGCTCAAAAATCCTTTTAACAAACAATAAGTAATAATTAAATTTCAAAGTCTGAAAACAGTTTGCAATTACTCTAATATCAAAAAAATTATTTGGTTACATAAACTAGCTGACACATACCTCATTTCCTTTCTAAAAACAAATAGAAAAATATTTATAAAGATACTAAACAATAGATTATTTACTATTATTTCAAAACATAATATTCTATCAGAATATAACTTTGCTGAATTGAAAAACCAAAGTACAATAAAATCAATCTCAATTATTCTTTCAGAAATTGAGACAATAAACAATCTTAACTAATAAATATGAGTAATTTCATTTGATATATCCAAAGCATTTGACTTAATAAATGTCTTCAGCTTGGAATTAGCAATAAAAAGAATAAGAATTCCAAACCAAATTGTTCAATTGATTTTCAACCTGCTTAAAAAAAGAGAATTTAAAATAATTATATACTATAAACTTACAGATTCACTTAAAGTTAATAAGGAAATTAATCAAGAAAAAACTCTTACACTACTCTTATGAACTATTTTTATGATCTAATTATTTGTACAGTCATTAATAATTTTATTAACTAATCAATTATTTTAGTATACAATTCTCTCCAATAAATGAAGGACCACTTAAGAATTATTATAATTAAATAGAAATAGTTGTCATATATTAAATTTTTTATTTTATTAATAAAAACAACTTTTATATATTAAGTAAACTTGTTTCTCATAATGAATTCTATATATGGTTAAATTTTTATTAAATTTAAACAAACATTTATTATTATATTTAACGTTTTTTTTCTGAATAAAAATTTTTTAATTTTTTTGTTAAAATTTTGACACCCACACAATTTTTATAACTACTGTTTTAATAAGCAAATTGATATTAATAAATTTTGTTTAGCATATGTTAAAGTATTTAAATATAAGGTTTCATAAATTTTTACCTGATATTTAAAATTTATTTAATAAAATATATAGTTTTTTAAAAATAACAAATTATTAAAATTATTATATTTAATCAAAAATAGTTTTTATATTGTTGTAGGAAAAAATGATAGATAGATGATAGGAAATTATAAGGGTAAGTATATCAGATATAAATGGTATATCAGGTATAAGTGGTATATCAGGTATAATAAGTATAAGAGGTATAAAGTAAAAATGTATATAAGTGACCTGAGGATGGTCAAAAAGTAAAAAGAACCAGAATAGGTACTGCGCAACTGTTAAATAAAAACCATCTTTATTTGATAAACTAT